AGATCTTCCCTGCAAAAATCAGAACCAATTGGTCCTGTTTGGCTTTGAATCGCCTCGAGATCTCTTCTTTAAACTAAAAGACATAACGAAATAAAGAGAGATGAGAAAGGAAATGGGATAACGAGGGAAAGGAGGTGAGAAAGAAACAGGAAATGAAAAGGATAATATTAAGAATAACACGGTTACACCTCAGTAGTACTGCTTCAATGTGTTTCTGTTCTTTTGCATGCTTCAAGACTTAAATTCCAAGAAAGACTTTTGAACTTATCCTATTAGCAATGCTCTAAACACTTCAAATGTGCCAATCACTGAATCTTGGAGTATTAGATGAAGCATAATTAGAATAGAAAAAGGTCTAATCCTTAAGGAAGCTACCATCTTGTTACATCTTTAATTTTTAATGTATCTTAACACTGAACTGTACGCAGTACAATTTTTACAGTTATACAGGATATGAATGTTGATAACTGAAACAGATGAGATAGAGCACCAAGGTGATTCCTGCCATGCAAAATGTAATAAAAATCTAATGTTATCTACAAGTACGGCTCGGTGAGAATTCTGATTCTGATCTGGTTGTGCAATGCCCATAACGAGATGAACAGCTTCGTCTGCCTGAAATATGTTAACCACAAACACAAGACACACTAAAAGATGAATTTCTTTCAAAAAGACACAAAAACAAAAGCTAAAAATCTCACATAGTTGTGATATTTGTTTTGGTTGATATTGTTTGGGCCGTTTTTTATTTTCTTTTTGTTGCTGTTCATTTTGACAGTATGTTTTTGTCTTCCCTGTTCATGTGCAAATTCATTTAACTTATTTTCTTATGTTTGTTTTGCTCCATCTATCTTGTTCTGTTGACGTTGTGTGCTGTTTACTTTTATTATAGTTTTGTGTGCCCCCCTGAAAGACAACCACTCTGTGGGGATCAAAATAAAGAATAGAGAGAACAATGAATACTGTAATTCCCATTAGTTCTCAGCTTTAACACCGCTCCTTGTACAATGTGTGTCTCAAAGAATGCTAATTTTTCTAATCAGAATCAACTATATTTGCCAGTTGTGTGTACACACTCATTATGCATATCAAACATACAGCCACGTGTAGATGGTAATAGTAAGAATGACAACACATATTTAGAAGTCAGACATGTAAGTCCAATGTCTGAACATAAAGCACATAAAGACATAAGACACAAAAAATGGCCACTTAAGATCACACAGTAATGAAAAAAGCATAACCGGGCGTCACACAAAGCTACAGAAACTGTCTACAGTCTGGTTACATGTACCGCATTATGGTTTCACTTCAACACGTCGCCAAGCCAACAGTAGGTCTGAGGATACTGTATATTCCCTGGAAAGCTTAATGACTCAGTGGTAGCAGTGAGAATGTTCTAGAGTGAGGGCAATCCTTAGCAATTTTAAAGCTGTTGAGCTGAAATGGGAAATGAAAGCGATTCGGGATACCATCCACCCAAAATCATTTCCCCGGTTCTAGCAGGCCATTGTTGCTTGTTGCAAGAGGCAAAGCAAGCGCGCAACCCGTCAGCTGACACTTGTTTGGCTTCTTAGTTAGCTTGGGTTGGTTCAGGTCGCAAAGCTGTTAGCTAACTAGCTAACTGTAACCGTTAGCTGGCTAGCCGGTTAGCCATTCCAAATATTAACCTGGTTATATCTCTCTATTTGTTGTCAAGGGCGTTAATACCGCCGAACACTTGTTGACTCGAGCAGTAAAACTTTCACTACACACAACCTCTTTAATTTCACACACTATCAGTTAGCCGGTGAGAGTGACGACAAATGCTAACCGGGCTAACTAGCTTCCTAGCTGAAGTTGTGGGCAGGGGCATGACGTTAGAGCACGGCGCTGAACCGCACCAGGCAGCTCCCCGCCAGCGAAATCAACCAACCTGAGTGACAGAGGCATCTTCTGCGATGGCGATTTCTTCTTTGTCTTTAGGGGTTTTTACTGTGACCTTAATAATAGTTCCCTCCGATGCTTCAGGTTTATTATTGTTGTTATTACCAGGATCTGCGGCGCCTTGGTCAGCCATCTTTACTCCGCCGATGGAACAGCTCGGGTCTGGCGTCAGCTTCCGGGTCACAGGTCAAACCTCTTTCCAGAACGAACCTCAGGAGTTCCCATGCCTGCCTGTTCATCTCAACTTCAAGGATGAAAATATAGGTTTTCCCCTTGCAATGTATGTTGTTCATACAGGTTTATATTAGGTCACGTCTCTAAAGGTAGTTATATTAAAAAAAAAAAAAAAAAAAAAAAAAAAAAGTAAAAAATTCAAATGAGTTGACTTTACAGACGCCTTTGTCAGGAAAATTATTGGAACATTTATTCTACTTAACATAAAAGCTGACCAGAAAGTCAGAAATAGTGCTAAATGTCGTGTTTCTAGTTTGCCAAAAGTCGTGATTTGCTACGTTTCACAGTTTCAAAGCTTTACAAATGAAATATTTATGGGTTTATGAACAAAACAAGACATTTCAGAACATAACCCTGGACTACTATATTGTGATGGACATTTTTCAGAACTTACTGACATTGAATAAGTTGAATTATTAATTAATCAAAAATGTCAATAATGAAAATATTTAGTAGCCTAGTTGCAGCCTCAAAGTGAAGTTGTCAATAACATTTTATTTATGCAGCCTAATTCCACAAATCACACATTTGCCTCAATGTACTGTGTCTTTACCATTTAGTTTTTGTGTCAAAATAAAATTAATTAAAACTAATTAAAAATAGTGCATGCTCTAGCAGTCAGAAATCGGAACATATGTTCAAACTAAGTTTTACTCACATTTGAGTTTAAAGTAGCAATAAGTATGCTGTCATGCTAAATTACCCAGGTATCCAATTTAGGAGCTTCAAAAGTTGGATTGTACATGATTAATTTTAAACTAGAATGCATATGATTAATTGCCATGTTGATCTGTTGTGCCCACACTACTGATACTGCTGATACTGGAGGAGACTAATAGTCCTATATTTTATGTTTTTACATGTTGTCATCATTGCCTCATGCTTTGTCTGCATCTACTGAGTGTGAAATGTCAGGCTTAATTACCAGTTTAGTTACTAGTAATGGTAGAGCTGTAACTGCCCAGAGTCTTGGGAGAGCCAAAAGCTTGTCTAATATTATAATACACTGAGAATTAATAAATAATGCAGTATGTCTGACAAGGCTGACATGTTCAGGAGTCACCAGATGACACCCCCTCTCCTCTATTGCCCTGGGCTTGGGCCTGCCGGTGTTTGTTTGTGGACATGCTTAAAGTGACATTATATGCACTCTTACTTGTTTTTTTCCTTTACCATTTTTCTCTTGATCATTTTTTAACCCATATTTGTGCATGGGAGGCTTGGCTGAAAACAGGGCTTTCCTAAAACACTGCATACACACCTGGAAGCTGCACAGCACAACCACAGTCTAATCTGTTGGCCACAAGTAGCTTCATTGGAGTAGTTGGGCCTTAAGTCCTTGCTCAAGGGCACCTCAGTGGGGGACACTTCTCTAACAGTCTCTGCCCTTTGTCATTAATTTTTTTCACTGACAGACGGACTGAAACATCCCCTCACTTAAACCCAAACACAGATTGTTTAACTAACTATATCATGTTTTGTATGTTAATTTGTTGTCTGTTGAGTACAAGATGTGAAAACTGGACGATATTAAAACATATATGCAATCTCAGTTAAGACAATCCTATAGAAGAGAGAGACACTGCTTGTATAGAGCGCTCCCTCTATATGTGTCTCTCCTCACCGCCACAGTGTGACAGCACTGAAAGAAAAGTGTGTGGTTCAGCATGTCGCATTGACACAGACAGTCCTGCAAACCTATGCATATCCCCAGTTCTAGATCAGGCCATTTACAAACAAACAAAACCCAAAAAAAGGTACATGGACCACCACCCCTTTTCCAAGGCCCCACAAACCCCACACACACTCACACACACACACACTCAAATGTACAGGGTCACATGCACTGTGGCCCCTACGGTGTCTCATTCAGGTGCATCCCACACAGGGAGACTGATTACTGCAAAAGATTTTGCTTTCATCAACAGAAAAAACGAGGGGACAACTTTTTGGTTGTAGTATTTTCTGTTACTCTCTCTCTCTTTCCCCCCAAGTGAGCAACAGCTCTCTCTCTCTCTCTCTTTCCCCCTCCAACCGCTTCTATCTTTACCTCTGAAAGGTTGGCAGTAGAGAGAGTGCATTTCCAGAAACAAGGTAAGGGATCAAATGTCAGGGTGCTTTTTGTGTGTATCCTAGAGCCATACATTTTCATTTATGATGACTGTGATTGGACAAAGGCTGGCAGAATCAGATAAAACCTCATTACTGCTGAACAAGCACTGGTGTGACATGAGGATTGGGCAGGGGGACAACAACAAACTGCAACTTTATAGCTTTTACTGTGGTTTTGCTTTGCACCTGTTCAACTAATAGTGATGTTTCCACTACAGAAGAGGTAAATATGTTTGATAAAATTTTTGTAGGAGTCCACTCTGCTTTGCTTTTTACAAATCAAGGAGTTAAAGCAGCTGTAAATAGGCTTGTTATGTTCATACACAGAGTAATGTTTGCAGTTTGTGTGTTTGTTTCATATTTCTCTTGTTTTCATTATTGTGGCTGTATGATTGGCTGGCATCATATGTGGTTTTCATACAATTGAGGATTGAATTTGACTAATTACATTTCACCATCACAACTCTTTTTTATATGGATCCTTTGGCTGCATTGGCTGTATTTGCATGAATACGTTGAGCACTATTACATTTTTAAAGACCTTATGTTTTGTCATTGTATACTCGTGGTGCCACATCAGGAACATATTTAAATTTATTGAGACAGTATGTGTGTGTAAATAGTGCAAATATGTGTATGTAGCACATGAGTAGCAAAAAAATATTTTACTATATGTGCACTACCCTTGACTTTCATGATTGTTCCTCACCATGTTGCAGTTGCTCTGCTGCGGCCCCGTTACCTCAGCTCAAGATGTACAGCTTCATGGGAGGGGGTCTGTTCTGTGCTATTGTTGGTAATATCCTCTTGGTGGTCTCCACTGCAACTGACTACTGGATGCAGTACCGTCTCTCTGGAAACTATGCCCACCAGGGTCTGTGGAGGTACTGCATGTCCAACAAGTGCTACATGCAGACTGACAGCATAGGTAAGATACTCCCATGTGGGACTACCACGATAACATTTGAGACGAATCAAAAGCACATGCAGATTTGTGTTTGCATCAGGGGAGCAGGTTGCTCTATTTTCACACAGATTTTGTGATACTGACTGCAGAAGCTCTGGCTGGATGCGGCTGCGAGCAACCCCACTCCTTGTATATTTGTGCACCAGCTGATGCAACAGACACAGCTTTTCTTAAAAGAGTGACAAATGCTTTCTAATGCCATAAACAGCATCTATAAGGATGAAACATTTGATGATTTCTACCTGTTTCCTTGCAGCTTACTGGAATGCCACCAGGGCCTTCATGATCCTTTCAGGGATGTCGTGCTTTGCAGGCATCATTGCTGGCCTCATGTCTTTTGCTCACTTCTCGTCCTTTGAACGGTTCAACCGCTCCTTTGCTGCAGGAATCATGTTTTTTGTCTCCAGTGAGTCTTGTTTCTTCTGAATTGACACACACACATACACATACACTTACTTCAATCATAACTGGCATGTACACCCCTGTCTCCCTCTTAGCTTTCTTTGTTCTGCTGGCTATGGCCATTTATACTGGAGTGACAGTCAACTTCCTGGGGAGGCGATTTGGTGACTGGCGCTTCTCCTGGTCCTACATACTGGGCTGGGTGGCCATGCTCATGACCTTCTTTGCAGGTGAGAAAGGACAAAGGCTGGGTCAAGGTTTTCCAGGGATAAACCCCATTTTTATTCATACTTGTCAGAGAGCTCAGAAGAAGCAATAACCACAGAAATTATTATGAAAAATTCTATATAATAACATTTGTTTGCTATGTTTTTTGAGATAATTTCTATCCTATTAATACTGGATGAATGAAATCATATATATTTGTCATATGTAAATGTAAATGTGCAAAAACTGATTCTAAAACAAATTTTATATCCAAATCACCATTGTAAACATAGCCCTCTTCAAAGACAGATTGTCTAGCTATTGTTAGTAGACCTATTTTGTAAATTTGTTATCATACATACTTGTGCATCACCAAATACATTGCCGCTGTCTGTTGCAGGTATTTTCTACATATGTGCCTACAGAATGTGTGAATGCAGGAGAGGAACTGGCCCACGCTAGAGGGAGACAGACAGGTTGTTTAAAAAGAAAAAAGAGGACAATGCCACTTTAAACTGAGGACAAACAGAAGGCAGTTGTGACTGATCTACTGAAGAGATGACGTCTGATGCTGGAGTTCTTTGACGGTCGGCTTAACATGTTTTCTAAAAGTCATGTTCTTGCAATATGGATTTATTATTTAGGAATAGTCATGATGATAGCACAGAGGTTAATAAACTTAATAAATTTAATCCCGTGTTTTATTACTACAACAGAAGTTTTAAATCTTACTGTAATTTGACACATCCAATAAAGTCGGTCCTCAAATTTTAGCTGTTGTTCGCAGCTGTACTGAAAGATCCCCAGAAGATGGCAGCACTGAAGCACTCCACTTAAAGGAGACTAGCGCCTCAGGGATGTGGGGATTGCATTACAGATTGAAACAGGATCAAAAATCTGATAAGACTGTAGACTGTTGAGCAACATTGATCATTTATCTACAGTCAAAATCCTCTAACTCTTTACTTCGGAGCCAGTTCAGCATCACAGACAACTGAAACAAGGTTTCCCCTCAGGTAATGTACTGTGCGAAGATAATATAATGTGGAAATAGTCTACACAGCAGAGAGCAATACATCAAAGGTGTATAGTACAAATATTTGTCTCAGGATTCCCCTGAAGCTATATGATTTGGTCCTACTTCAGAACTTCTGACAAGGATTCCCCCAAACCTAAAATTATATGTGTGCTCTTTATTAGGTTGTTGTTCATGGGAAAGGGCTTTGCCTCTGGCAGCCAGCATGTTTGTTGACATCCCCTGTACACTCAAGTACAGATAGCACATGGAAAAGTGGTGGGAGGCTGTTTGTGTTTGTGCGTGTGTACAGAACAGGGCACATTGATCCTGAGAAAAAGATCATCATGTTCCTTGACTAGGGGGACCAAACGTGGTCTCCAGCCAGTGATTGTTCCACTGCCTCTGTCTCTAATAACTGCTTTTTTTGGGTACTCGACCATTCCTCATCATCATCAGCTGGGAGGAGAGGAGGAGTAGAAACAAACAACAAGAGCAGAAACAATGAGAGAAATGTAAACAGTCACTGGACAGATCCCTTGATCCAAGTTTCCATACTTGGTCCCTGTGGCTGCTGTGAAGAGATAAGCTCTGTAATATTGTGTGATTTTCACCAGATGCTTTCATAAGCCCCTCTAAAGCTTTCTCTGAAGCTAGGTCTTAATAGCTTGTAAGGGAACCTGACAAATGTTCACATTTCAGCAAATCATATGCATTCACTGCAGAATTACAGTGGGAGGTTTTACAGTAAAAAGTGAGGAAGTGATGATGGAGGGGGTATCTTCATTCGTCCGTCCCTTCACATATGCGTTAAGTAAACTGTGAGGAAGCGTCACAACATTTTTAACACAATGAGTAGTTGGTATGAGTGCGTTTTTGTGAAGGGTTTTCGTAAAAGATTAAAAAGTATTAGTATTAGTTTCCAGGTGAAAGTCCTGATCTTTAAATCAGAAAATAAATCACATTGCAAAATCATCTTCAAAAGTATTACATATGTCCTAAAATATTATTTTGGCCAAAAAGAAGGGAAACAGTCATGTATTTTCATTGCAGTATGTTTTACCACAAAATGCAACTCAATTTAAACAACAAAACTGTTTTCTTGGCATCAATGCCATGAGAGACTAAATATGAGATTGTTGTTTCTAAATTAGCAGCATCATCTTCCTCATTCTGCTATTGAAGAGCAATATTTACTTTATTGTGAAACAAACTAGTTTGCAATGAAAAGCAAATTGATGCCATCTCAGCAGCAGGATGTTTCTCTTTTTAAAACTGAATATGACCTTGTAAAAATTGCAACACTTTCAGTTCACAGAAGCTGCCAGACCAAATGTGTACTTAAAGTTGAAGTGTAACTTAAAGTGGGCAATGCATATAATAAAAACAAGTTTCATAGGTGATTCAATGCAGGAATGCAAGGTTAAGGTCAGCCCTCCAAGGCGTCTGTGCTGGGCACTGCAGGTCTGCTCACCCTTCTATTAGAGTTTGTTGAACATGGTGTCAGTGAGAACACCTGGTAGTTTTCACTGACAGATCCTGTTGATATTTGCAACAATTTGCTCAGTCTGGATACTTTTACAAACCTGCAATTTCTCTTACAACAAACAGGAGGGTGAAACGCTGTCTATCTCTGAGGCAGATGTTCACCCAGGTGTTTATGTGGGACATGGAGGGACAGACAAAAATGAAAGGAAAGGGAGTTGATTCAAAATAGAAATTGTATTTATTAGGCACTGTGGTAAGAGTGGAGACTAAAGTCTTTGTAGATAATTTAGTAATTCAAAAGAGAATTTAATGATTCAATATAATAATCAAAGGAAAAAATATTTCAAATTACTCATTTTCATTTAGGGTATTTCCTAGTTCACCAAAGTATGCTGTTGTTGTAATGTTAGCTATAGTAGCAGGAGAGTTGTGAGTATTGCTGTCTGGACCTGGTGTGCTTCTCTGAGACCGCCTCATCCTCTCGGCATTTTAGCTTCACTGCAGCAACTGTAGCGACAGTTTGCTAACCCACAACTTGGCTAAAGTTAGTTACATTACTTGCTGTGTCATTGTGTACTCCGCATCAGTGGTTGTCAAACTTTTTCTTGAGTCAAAGTTAGCAAGTTAAATACATTAAAATAAAACAACCATTCCCATTTTGGATCCTCTGTACACAAGAATATTTTGGGGTTTAATGAGCCATTTCATGAAAAATATTCTGAAATAATCAATGTTTGTACAGTACAAAAGAAAACGGAACTGAATCTGCTAACTTCCATGGCCAGAGAAAGGATACATAAGCGTATTTATGATCTATTATGCATACTCTTCATCCTGGTCTTCCACTGACTGATGGTCAGAGTTATTGCTCTCAGTGATGGAAGAGTTCGCTGACACTGCAGGAGCTTATAAAAACTGCCCTCATCCCAGCCAGCCCCGTCCCATGGCGCTTCCCCCTGAAAACCCTGCACACAGTCCCTCCCATTGTGGCTCGCTGATCCCTAATGTTCCTAAAAAATCACACACCTTCTCTACCACCCAACCTACATACATGCAGACTATATATGGCATTTTTCCAGATTATTTACTTTTACTTGTTTCAGTGCATCAGTACAGTACAGTACGAACTGTAACATTAAAGTGTTCACAATGAGACCATGTGGCTTTGGAAAGACTTTATTGTGACGCACAAGTGAACACTAATGTGGTATTGCAAGTTAGTGCACACAATACAAGAGACAGAAAGGTAATAAAACATTGCACAGAAAAATAAAGAATAAAAGTATATAATTTACACATCTTGTCATAAATAAAGTCTAAACCTCAGTGAATATGGAGTGGTTCATTTTACATAAAATACACATCTTCTGAGTGGATGCCTGCTGCAGCTCCTGGGGTGGGGAGGTTTGGATAAGAGACTGTGTAGTTGGAGAAAACCGTTGCTGAAAGTGAGATCAGTTTCTATTAAATACATTTGGATTTTGCAGAGAATCTTTAGTAATATAGTCGTAGTTGGTCCCATCTGAACCTTTATGTAAAAATAATAATTATCTTGGCATGTGTTTCTCGTGAGCATTTCCTTTAGAAAGCAATAAGTGGATTTTTTCACGCCTCTTTTCTTTATATTCTGTTTCATATTTAACATTTAGGTTCAAGCTTACTAAGAACCTGAATGGCCATTAATCCAACATAGTGTAAACAAAATAAACAACATTGACAATAAGTTGTCTCTACTCGGTGGAAACAAAACGATCCCAGTTTTGGTCAGATATCAGTACTTTCCTGCATAGAAAAAGTCACTTGTCTTTTTTTTCTCTTGCAGGGAGGTTATGAATTATCTTGTGTAAATTAAAATTTAAGGCTTCCAAACTTCAAAATATGCATACATCTGTGCACTTTCAGTGAAGACTGCAACACAGTAGCATAAACCAATCTAGCAACGGAAGTTTTGTCCATTGATCTTTGTCTCTCTTGTAAAGGAGCTATAGCAACATGCCCATAGATGAAAAAATATAAAGACGAATCTCTTTCTTTCTTCTGATAGAAGATTGAAACTCTTCACATTGTCTTTGGTGACATTTATTGTAAACCTGTTGTGCATCTCATGTTGACAGGCTGCTCTTCATCTTTCCCTACCCTCACTCACTTCAGAATGAAAGCAAATATTCGGTAGATTGTATGAGAAATATGCAATAATTGCTTATCTATCTACAGGCCCTCCACCACATTGCACATTGCCTATCCAGACATTTTGCTTATTGGCCTATCTGCCTATCCATGCCTAAAGGACATGATAGAGGGAACTTAAAGATCACAAGACAGGATGATATAGATACTGAAAAGCCCTTTGAAGTTACAGCTGAAGCACACCAGGATGTAATTTAAGGTAAGTGGTAATAATACACCGTGCTTTCCTTTTCAAGTGAGGCTGTGCTCAAAAAACATCTGAAAATCCCTCAATCAGCCAGTGGAAATAAAGACAGCATAAAGCACTGTGGTACTGTAGCAAAGATAGGCACATCGCTGATAAGATGTTAAGTTTTCCAGCAGAAAACAATAAAAATGTGAAATAAAATATGAGAACATAACGTAAAACAGCTCATCTGCAGCCTGTGTGACTTGAACCGGTGTTTTGGCGTTAGTTAGAAGCGGCTTTACATGTTGATTACATAAGATATGCATCAAACTAAAGACTCTGCTGTCAAATACTGTAGCACAGACCAGACTTCAGCAGCAGTATCCCCCCCTCATCCTCCTGGCTGTGGTCAAACAAGCACAAGCAGAAAAGCGACTGAGTCATGAGTGTGTTATCAACGTTACTAAATACAGTACATCTTTAAACAAGTAGTAAAATGAAACTTCAGAACATAACTGCAACGGGCAAAAATGACATCTGTAGCTGAAATTGTAACAGTGCACACAGAACAGAGAAAATTAAGACTATTATACACAAACACTTTCTTTTGGAGTGGTCAAAACAACTCTGTTTCTTTAGGGCAATGCAATCTTTTTTACCTTTTAACGCAGCAGTGTTTTATTTTTCATATGAGATGGTCGGGTCAAGAACAGCACCATGGCTTTTAATTAAAAGTTTATCATTGTTCATAATGACTTTTTCCTCTAGTGTGACTGAAAATTTTTTATTTCACAAATGACACATGTATAATCTTATATATTCGTAATCCTTTACCCCACATTAAATATCCTACTGTTTCCAGTGTCAGATTCTACGTTTTTATTGGAATGTGTGAGAAACTACCGCCTGTAGCTACGCCCTCCATGCATGTGTCCTCTCTAACACTGAAGGAATGAGCTGACTGTGCGTTTGTATAGCTGACAGGTAAATGTCAATAAGGTCATCTATGATATATGATCATGTTACACAGTTCGGCTGGGCGTGTCTCTCTGAAAGGGTCTGATGTCTGATAATCTGGCGCTCAGATTTCCTCTTTTCCACGCTGTCCCTCTGAAAATGCATCTGTCTGGATTATAGATTTAGCACTAGAAATGACTAAAGGTTCAGGTTGACAAAGAAGAACAAAGAAGAATGAAGATATCAGATTGAGCTTCTCCTTCTGTCATCACCCAACTTTGACATGAACATGTTTCACCAGATATTACGCTGAGGATTCTGAGAAGTGTGGGCTTTGGATCAGTAGGTACCTGAGGCGCCTAATTGCAAGGCAACGTAAAAAGAGCTTTAGCTTAGTTGAGTTTTTCATCTTTTTTTTTTGGTGCCATAAACCTTGAGTTACAGGGAGAGAAGGGAGGGCTGTTCTCTTAAAAAAGAGAAAAGATAGAGAAGAAGAGGGGTTGTATTGATCCTCAGAGTAAGGTATAAAAAGAGAGGGTTCAGGGTCTCTGGGGTTGATTTTGTGGCTGTCCCTGCCAGCTTGATGGGTAAGGGGTGCTGAAGTTCTGAGACTCTTGGTGTGGTTCTCCTCTGGGGTAAAAACCTAGCTATAGGTGGGATTAAAAACAAAGGTCTCAGTTGGGGTTTGAACATCTCTTGTGTCTTTATATGTGTCTGCGACGATGGTGGTGATGATGGTTGTGCATGTCCTCCATTGTGATCCTGCCCCACACACCAATCACAAATGTTTCAATCTCGCACTCGTTGTCCCCGCGAGCGATACGGAAGTAGCCGTTCTCTCCCCAGTTCTTTCCCCAGGAGTTGGCAGCAATCTGAAAAGGAAAGTATAGTCAAACTTACTACAGATGAGACAGATTGTCCTGGCATCTCTTTCAATTATTTTGTTAGTAGGATAGTGATTCGTGTGTGTAAAAGCATTCGCGGAGATCCTTCCGTTTCGTTCAAATACAAGATTTATTAGGTCAAAAAAACAAAAAAAGATATTCTCTGTGGTTGACTTTCAACAGAACCTATAAACTCTTCAGATAATCTTACGATATCATTAATCGGTTTCAGTCCTCCTCTCTCACTCAAACAAAGGAACTTTCCAAGCTGTCACCCAGCCCCTCATTAAACCTGTGAAATGACCTGGTGAGGAGGAGTCAAGGTAATCATTTTTACCGGCATTAGTTAATAGTTATTTCAAAAGTTTCCTTAATCAAAATCCATAGTGTATTTTTCTTGATGTCAAAATTTCAACAGAAAGAATAATATAAATTCAAATCTTCTTGTTTTGCTGTAAATTAGTGACTTAATCGGAATAAACTTATTATGGCTCCAGCACAGATATTATTTGAGAACTCATAATACGTACCTGGTAATTTTCATGTACATTAGAAAAAAAGAGACCTGACAACACTTGTCAAACACCCCATTTAAAATGTATATTTTATTTATTAGAAAGAACAATTAAAAAGAACAATGTTGGAGTCAAATAAAAACTGAGTTGGACTTTTTTTGATGTACAACAAAAGAAATTTTAAAGGGAGCGTTTAACAGTGTTAACAGTTCTTGGGAGACAAAGATCAAAGTTACAGTTTTTGTAACTCAGCACTTAGACAAGAAAGATGTTTGTTATGCACACTGAAGAAACGTACCCAATATTTTCTTGATGTCCCATCAAAGTTTCTCTCCTCTCCCCACCTGGTGCATGAAACAGAGGGGATGGTTACTCAAAGGACAACAAAATGTCCTCAAATACAGGCATTTAATCAGCTGTGTCAGAGTTGCCCTGCTATTTTAAAGTATGGATGCTCTCCAACAAACAAACAAATAAAGTCTGACGTGAAAACTTCAGAAATGTGTTCACGCTTGGCATTATTGACAAAAAAAAGCAGGATGAGATATAAGTAGCGTTCAAGTGGGGAGAAAAAATGCTTTCATCTTGTTAACAACATCCTGAAAACAGAGTATTTATGGCTGGACAGCGGCTAGTTGAACTCCTACATCATTCCAATCCAAATAACACGGAATTTCCTACTCCAGGCATGAAACGGGATGTAGAGGGTAGGTTACGAGGAAGTGATGACCACCTCAACAATGTCAAAACAAAGACAGCAGATAATACAGGCTAAGGAAAACCTTATTTGTGGATCTGAACTTAGAGTCCTATCTTCACCTTTCTCCATCTCAAGCAGCTCTTTTCTCGGGAAACCTTGGCAAAGGCTGATAAATTCCCATCATTCCTTGCACTTTGGTCTTAGCTTAGCAACTGCCAACTTTTTAGACGCCCGCTGTTTCTGCTTGTCTGGATCAAAACATGCTCCCGAAGCCAATACCCATCCTGTTTTTGCACTCCAGGCCTTTCGTTTCCCAAGAGACCCGCAGTGCCCAATCGCTTGTTATCTTTTATAAGGGAAAGGAATGCTGGGAAATAGAGTGGCTGGTCTCAGACTCTGCCAAATCAGTAGCCTGCCACCACAACACTGGCAGATACAGCCAACCTTCTATCAGCGAGTGACTTTTAGCCCAGTGTTTCCCTGACCGGTGTTGGACGTCACATTAACGGGGGAGCAGAAACATTCAAATCAGCTGTGTGGACAACAGATGCAAACTACAATCTGAAACATACATTTGAGTTAAGCCCACACCTGCATATGTGTGATCCCATATGCATGCCTGTCTGTCTGCATATTTATTGGTATGAACAGAGCCAGACAGAATCGGACCACTGCTGATCTCTTATCTGGCTTCCAATCAGCTCACTTGCTCACCCGGGGACAATGATGGGCATACCGCTGTGCCCATGTGCCCCGCCCTTCCTCACCGCCCCTCACCCCACCCCTGACCTCTTCTCCGAGAATTGATCCCCCTCTCTCTGTCCGGTGCAGTCAGGATCAGCAGCCCAGACAATGCCCTTTCCACCACAGTGGACCTCAATGCTCTTTCCACAAACTTTCCCAGGCACTGGGCTTAAAGGAACACATCACTGTGGGATTTAGCCTATGTAAACACACTGATGCCTGTGGCTGGCAGGTTGGAGCTCAAAACACCATGCACCAGCCACCGAACCCCCTCGCTCCATCGGTTCCTAAACCTTTGTCGCTGGTACATTCACATCCACTCACCCAGCGAGCGGTGAGGAATTAAAGCGTCAGTGGAAGGAGCCAAAGAGCAGGAGGCATTCAGGAAAGCTAGGAATCCTCAACATCATCCCACACCATGCATACCTCCACAGTTTATTGAAAAAATTAGGCTGTAGAGACTTAATTACAATCCACAAATGTGCATCTGCAGTTTTCCAAGAACACATTTCTGAACAGTGCGTCCTTGCGCAGTATGTGATTTAAACAAGCTAAGTACAGGTTGGAGGTGGGGGGCTTGAGTGTTTATCATACACATTCCTATACATGCCCTATGATGTCATAACATGAGACGTCATAAAACATACATGCTAGACACGCACACGAAGAAGGACATGAAAAGCTGCCCGTATGTGGGTTGTGTTTAGTCTTCATCAATGGCCAATCAGTTAAAAGCACTGAGATGCCGTGTGAGGAGAGTCTGGAGAAACTGATGTTCAAATAAGGGACAAGCTCAGACACTGAGATACTAAGGTACAGTCAAATGCTCACAAGCACACATTCCTTAGCCCCCATTATAGACCCATTATGAGGTAGCTGCTCATTTTTATAATTTGGAAAGTGAGACTAGCGAGCGGCAAATGTATCATTGCCATGAAAGACACACTTCAAAACCAGCTGGTTGACTGGTTGAAGAGACAAATATTTACAATTTGAAAGGATGTTTCTGATTTTTTTTTTACAGGTCAAAACCTCTCCCGGCCTCTCAATGCCCTCCAAACAAACACATAAAACAGCAGCAAACAGCTACCTGTCTTTCTGAGTATTTTAGCTTGGATGTGGAGAGGAGAGAAAGAGTGACGGTCAGTGAGTCAGGTGGCAAGCTGAGGAGTGATGATGGAGACACCACAGACCGAGAAGAAATGTGGCAGGAAAGCGAGGGGGTTGGGGAAGAATGAGAGACAGAGGGTGGGGGCAGGTAATCCAGGTGTGTCAGCTGTCTGCCCGCCTGCATATTTGTGGTCGCAGTAGTTGCTAGATAGAGGAGGAAGAGGGAGGGGGGGCTTTGTCTGGGGCTAGACGGAGGAGTGGAGCCAAGGTGTGTCTCCAGGAGCAGTAGACTGGGAGGGAAGCCTTGTTCACATGTACACTCTTGGCTGTGTGCAAACAGCAGGTGAAGCTTTGAATCACGCCTGATACCAGCAGCTACTCAAATGAAACCTGATTCATCCTTAATACACACTTTATCTGCTGTTGAGCATGTGAGCATGTAGCAACAGAAAAATCAGACACATGAAGACTTGGATCGGGAGCAGGGAAGGCAAATGTTTTTGTTCAGGCCCCATTCAGTTAATAAGTGAACGCAAAGTTTGTATAACATGGTGTGCGGATATCCTGTCAGGAATTCCAATTGAACAAAAGTCAAAAGGCGTTAAATCCCATTTCGATCTCAAAACCCAAAAGTGTTTACGTTGAGTCTTATCAGGTTTGTGCAAGGCGTAAAACCTCTACTCAGGACCATGCTATGACTACCAGGAGGTTGATTTATAAAACAGGGGGGAAATGTTTTGCACTGTTACTATATACTGCTAACTTACCCAGTGATCCTGATGGAGTGTGTGCCATGCTTGCGGTATTGTGGCGGTTTGGTGAAGCTGACGTCAGTGTGTTTGTAGATCCCACTCTTATAGACAAAGAAGTCCTCGTGGACCTCCATAATAGCTGCGAGAATAAACAAGCAGGGAGAATTAGTAGGCGGATATAACAGGCACACACACTTACACGCGCACACACACAACAGTATGACTATGTTTTATGAAGGATGCTGAATCTATTATGGAAGGGAGAGATCCAAATCTTATTCAAACATTGATTAATCTAAAAGTAATTTCCTAATTTCATCAAGCAAATTCCAATTCCCCCCTTGGGTTACACACACCCAGACATCAGAAAGGGCATGTGTGTATATATATGTGTGTGTGTGTGTGTGTGTGTGTGTGTGCGCGTTCAGCTGTGAACTCCATGTGACTTTCTTATTCCAGCTCAATGGGAATAACTCTCCAGATCTCCAGATGTACAGCTGAGAAATTCCCTCTTTTGGAGGTCTACCTACGCTAAATTCAATATTCTCTAGCTGAGAACAGCGTGTGAACTCATATCAGCAACTCACAATAAGATGTGGAAGTACACACACACACACACACCTCTATGCCTTTGTGTCAGAGAGAAAGTAAAAGGCAAAAAGGAAACTTGATGTGAAGCCAATACATTTTCCTGGGCTTCTAAACAATTAAACAAGAATTTGGCAGAGGCTCATAGAGAATCACACACACACACACACACCTACATGTGACTCTTCTATTCAAGTGTACTTGACAATGGTCCAGATGGGCACCAGACAGTGAGGCGGGCTAGTAAAGGAAGGTCAGTTCAACCACACTGACATGAAGGCCCATCATTTTTGACCAGGTGACTGGGGTCACAGTTGAAACACAGGGCAAAACCATCAGGCTGACGTGACATCATCTGAGGTCAGATACCCAACATGACGCCTCAAGGTGCATACTTTTGGTTTTGTGAGTCCCTTGGGAGTGAGTTGTTGTTTTTTAAAGTAACACTCACAATGAGACAATGTTGACACTAAAACATTATTTACAAGTTTGCCTTACCTTGCACAGGGCCATTATCCATTATCTCCTTCATGATCTCCTTTTCCTGAAAGAGACGATAGAAGGAACAATTTATAGTCAGAGGAGAGGGAGACGGACAGAAAGATCATTACATGTCAGTAAAATGGAGAGGATGAAAACAACCCCTCTGGATGTTAAAAGTCAGATAACAAGATTAAGTCCAGCAGGGCCCCTGGGCCTTTAATGCCTGGCTTATTGACTTCACAGGTCATCGGGAGACAGAAACAACAGGCTCTAATGGTTATGAGAGGCATTAGCTGTCATTTAAAAGTGATGAATGCTCGCTGATGAAACCGCATTTTGTGCTGCAGCTCAGTGGCTGACTTCTCTGTGTTTTCTCTCTTGGCCCCTATGCTTTCATTTCATTTCTCTGATTCTAGTTTACTCATGAATAGATGACATGTAGAAAGAGTTGAGTAATCTGATATTAGAAGGTAAACACAGAAATCTAATTCCAGATGCACTTTTGAGATAATGATTATGGATGATGATATCCAAAGTGCACTTTGTAAATTGGCTTAATTCACTCACGGACCTGTATAACCAACATATTTTGAGTCAAACTAATCTAACTACAAACAGAATAGGTTCATTTTCCTGTATTGTATTGTTCCTGTAGTATATTTGAATCAACCAACTGCCTGGACCATGAAAGTTGACAAACGTGCAGGTAAAAATACAACTTCCTGCCCGTCATTGATTCAGTCCAGAGTGCTGTCGAGCACTTAATCCTGTACATTCCCATGTTCATTCACAGCAGAGTCAAGTATGCAAGAGGAAAGTGTGCAAAAACACATACTGTAATAAACATGTGAGAGAGATTATAGTCCACTGTAGCACGAGGAAGTCCCAAAAATGTACAGAGAGCTTGTGCAAGCTGCGTGTTTACTGGAGATTTAAGACCATGTCGTGCTGTTCAGGTGTTGACCCGTGAGTCGGCGCGTACGCATGCATGTGTGCATCATGTATCTGTGTTTATGCACGTGTTGGTTTTGTGTTGCTTACGTTGGATGAGAGCCTGTAGGGCGGCGTGGACTGGTAGATGTCGTTCTGGTAGTTGTGTGTGTTGGGGCAGTGCTGTGTGGCCTGCCTCTTCCCCCGGCCAATCGAGCGACTCTGCATCATACAGCGACTCACCTCCGCTGGTGTTTGCTGTGGGAGTTGGTATGGATAACAATCTTCTGTCACCACCCTTTGAGAGAAGAGGAGAAACGGAAGGATGTGCAGAATGTCTTCATCAAGTAATCACCAACACTTATTGAATGCTTGATTACTTTTCTGTTTCTAGTTCATATAAGATGAAGTCTTTACCCTCTACGCCGGAGGTACCACCAGGCTCCATCGATGCGTCCCCCGGCACAGCCTCCCTGGTTGCGCGTGTCACAGGAAATAAGATTTTGAGGCGACAGCTGAGGAGTCATGTGACCCATTGACTGGATGGAGATTCTGTCTGATGCCACAGCTAGTGAAGAGGATAGGAAACATTGAAAAATGTCATGCCAAAAACCTTTTCAAAAACATGGAATAAGATGTAAGATTACTTAAGAATTCAATCAAAAGGACTTTTTAAGATTTTATCTTGTGAATTGTTTCTATTTTGCGTCTTTAGGAAGCTTAATTATGTGACAGCCAATGTCAATTAATCATCAGAAGCCACACACACATCCATGGATCTTTTGCAGGTACTGGAAAACAAATATCTGCACAGAAAAATTATATATTTCAGCCAGAAACCGGAGGAAGACTTTTTGTAGTCAACACATCGTCATGTCCATGTAAAATTCAAGTATTACGAACAAGACTGCAGTGTTTGGGCTGTTTTTTTTGTCTTTTTTATCTAACGTCATTTAAACTGCCAGCACCTTGTCAAAATAGTCAAAATGATGATGTTTTTATTCTTGTATTTTATTTCCTTTATGTCCGTAAAATGTTATCCCACATTTCCCTCCATCTATTCTCTTCCTGCTCTACCTGCAGTTGAGAAAGCCCAGGATGCAGCACAGTTGCCCTGGTCCAGTGGTTCATGGATCTTTCCTGGCCACTTCTCTGCTGAGTTGAAGTAGAGCGGCAGGCGGTCACTCTGAGGATCCATGTTCATCTGACAGAGAGAGGAAAGAGTGAGAAAAAGACAGAGAGACAGTTATTACAGGCCTGCAACACATCGGGAGTCAATAGAGCTTAGTCACCGTTACACTCTCACAGAACCTCATTGAGAAAACATTAATATTTCTCAGTGAAAACAATTATTATCATAAGTGACAGCCTAAAGTCTTTAACAAGGATTTAGAGTAAAATATAGAAAACAGCAGTTAGAGCCAAAAACAGCTGCAGCAGCGGTTTGAATGTAGTATTAGACCTACAGAGTACTTGTTTGCCCACAACAGAACACAAACTAACGGCTACAATTAAAATACTTGTGGACGGCTTTGTATAACAAATTTGGATCGCAGGCAGATTATATTAGTCTGCTAATCAACACTCCAGTAGAAGGGACTTATTCACAGGCGATTAGGACCGCTTGGCCCGGTTTGGATCTCTGACTCTGTAGAACAGAATAGAACCTTTGAACCCAGTCCTCTTCATCAGTGTAAAATCGAATGTGTCATTTGAGCCAACTCACCTCACAGCTTTCATGGAGGAATCCATCTCTATTTAAAATATCAGTGCCACTGTGATGAGAAATCCTAATTAGGATGATACATCTATGGCAGAGTGCAGATATTTTCCTGATTGCTCATGTTCACTCACAGGTGCTTCTCAGATGCCAAACATACTCAGTCTATTAGCCTCCACTCCAAGTTGGATGCTCTCCTAATCTCCCAGTTATGTGTGATAACAGAGAACACACTTCTGTACAACTAACTTTGCCCTGACTCTCTTTGTCTGGCTGCCTGCGTTGCATTCCTCTGATTAATAGTGAGGTATTCAGAGCACAAACGGCCACCTGATATATAACTAAGGAATGTGCTGCTGGTCAGAGATTTGTAGTTGAGGAAGGTCAAAGTCCAAAAGCGCAGACACCTGAAATACCTGACCTAAAGAAAAGGAAAAAACGGCTTCCAGAATGAGGTGTTATGTAATAAATTAATTCACTGATTCACTATTTTCCATGCCTTATACAGGAGACAGACAGGGAAGAAAAGAGATTTATGAATGGGCTGCAATGCTCTGGTCTGGTTCCTGGCACAGGTAGGGACACGCTGCTGACGGAAGAAGGGAGAGTTTTGTTGGGGGTTGGAAAAAGTCATGGAATGCTGGTAGAGGTAAGCAGGGGAGTGAGGATGGACAAATGAAGGGATGGATGGAGGTGGGGAGGTGCAGGCTGGAGAGGAGGTTGCTCTTTATTCTCCAGGCGGCCACCATCCCCTCCATCTTCTCTGTGTGATGTTTTGGTTCCGTCTTATGTAACCTGTCTGGGTAAAATGCAAACAATGGCTGTGCGGCTCAGAGTGGGCTGAGGCTGCAGATGGAGACGCCATCACACACCAGCAAGAGGCCATAATGAAGTGGAACGTGGTTTGATCAGCATTCCCTTGTTGATACAGGTTTTAAACCCGCGTATTGCAAATCATAAACTCACAGGAAGTTTGCAAGAGTGTTTAAAGAAATGAAAACAGCCCCAACGCAATGGCAACAATTGACCTTCTCTCTGCATTCTCACCTGTCACTAAAACTTCCTCTTCCACCACACCGCCCCGCATTTCTCTCCACCATACCCACATCCCTGCATTACATGTGTCACACTAGTTTCTGGCTGGTATATAGCCCCTTGACTGTCCTTAAAAAACTTTCAATAAAGTTTTTAAATAATAATAAATATATATAAAATAATGATGTTGATGTCATCCAAGCCAAAGATAGAGATGAACTATCATGGCTTAAAATAATACAATATGCAGGAACTAAAAGGTACAGTACATTGCAAAGGAAGCTTTCATATTTTGGCTTTGGCTAATCTGTGGCAAAAGTGTTTTTTTCCAGACCAAGACCAAAAAAATAAAGAAAAGTAAAGAGATTTTATTGTAGGGAATTCCATTATTAAACTTTTTTGTTACCTCTTCTGATAGGTCCAACATTGCAAATATACTTGCATGAAATTTATTCAATTGTAGTGAAACAAAAATCTGAAATTTTCTAATTTTCTAAAGTCTGAATTGTGGGGAAATGTGGAGTGTTGGAAATGTACTGTATATAAAATGACAAAATGATACAGAAGAAAACTGAATGTTTACAGGTGGTAAAGCTATTACTATAGGAGTTGTAACAAAAAAAACATAATATGCGATGTATGTGACACTATGTAATTATATTTGTGTATTCTCTGTAAATGTTTTTTTAAAGTAGAATTTAAGAGGTTAGACCCACTAGCAACAAGTAACATGATACTCTACTCCCTGTATGGTAGCACTGAGGATGGCATGGATTTCATAATTTGCTTATGGGTACTTATGTACCCGTGCTTTTGGGAACTTGACCACCCATATATTTCTTTGTCGACTCGGTTTTATCGGTCAGTTGGGTCATATTAACCCCAAAAATAATTTTCAAGGATGAAGACTGTCCTGTACCTGGATCTCATTCATGTTCATAATAGTCTTAGAGGGTCTCTGTGTGCCCAGGCGAAACCGGATGCCCTCGTCTAGAGTCATGCCGTAGAGCTGACTGTAGTTTGCTGCCTTCCACCTGAAAGCACAAGATAGAAAAGGAACCATGTGTAATAAAAAGCTTGTTGTAGGCCATCAAATACCACCAAGTTTGTGTTTTCATGTGTGGCCGTGTTTGTTTTTTTACCCATAGTTTCCTCTGTTGACGGCGTGGATAATGTCAGGCTCCATCAGACAGGCGTTCTGCTCACACTCCCAGCGTCCTGTGGTCCCACATGTACTACAGAGGAGAGACAGAAAGCAGGGGCAAAGAGATGAGACCATTAAAAGGCATTAGCAGCTGCAATTGCATAAACATAGAAATATTAAAATTTCTATATTTATGCTAAAGCCAGTGATGTCACCGGCTAAAATAGAAAAACCATCTGAGACACTGGCAAATATGCAGGGGCTGGAATTCCCAAATAAGAAATTAATTGAGAGAAGAATGTCAGTAAGTGGAAAATGCCGGGAAAAGAAGAACTGAGGGGGGTGAGAAATAGTGGGGAGGTTAAAGGAGACATTCAGCCTTTTAAGGCTGCAAAACGCAGATCCATTTTTAGTCAGAATGAAGCAGAGAGACTGAAGAAGTCAAGAAGATGACAGAAGAGATAAGAGAACAGGATATTAATGATGACAACAATGACTACTTTGGGGATGCTCAAAAATAACTTGCACTGATGACTCACTGTAAAGGTGTGTGTGTGTGTGGGGGGGGTGGGTGTGTGTGTGTGTGTGTGTGGGGGGGGGGGGGGGGTAGGTAGCCAGACCAGTAGTGGAAAAAGGATCAAGATCCTTTACTTAAGTAAAAGTACCAATATCACAACAGAAGTAGACGTCATCCAGTCTTTTGCAAGTAAGAGCAAACAAGTATTATTATTATTACTACTACCACTACTACAAATAATAATAATAATAATAATAATAATAATAATAATATAATAATAATAATAATAATAATTTATTTATAGCACCTTTCAAGTCACCAAAGGACACTTTACAAATCCAGTCAGAGAGTCAATACTTAGTAAAAGACAACAGTGTAAAGAAAATGAACAATAGCAGTAAAATATATGTACAGGTAAAGGAACACATTCATAATTTACACATTACGCAGCACCAGGGCAAGCTAATGTAAACATATGAGTTTTTAGTAGTGTTGCTTAAAAGGAGCAACAGATGTGCACTGGCGCAAACCCTGAGGGAAAGCATTCCAGAGTTTAGGGCCAGCCACACTGACTGCCTTGTCACCCATAGTGCAGAGCCTGGAGGGGGGCGTGGAGAGTAGATGGGCATCATGAAGCTACCGCCAGCAGCCAAAGACTGGAACAGGGGTCGACAGATAGCCTGGCTTTGTTCAAAGGTAACAAAACCTGCCTACCAGCACCTATCTTTTTGTTTAATGTAAAAATTATACATCTGGTTTGTTTTAGTGTTTATGCTAAGCTAAGTAAACTGGCTCCAGCTACATAGTTACTCAATAGACAGGAAAGTGGCATTGATATTCTCAACTCTCTTTTGTACACACTTCTATGTACTTTTTAGATGAATTGTTAACAAGCTATAGTCTTTAACTCCCCTTTGGAGATTTTAAAGTTTTATTGATGTTTTCTTGGTTTCTTGGTTGTCTGACTGTAAATGTTTTGGTTCTCAGGTCCCTCTATAACACTATCTGGTTAAATAAAGTTACTACGTCAACATAAATTACTGTGTATAAAAGCCACAGGGTCAGCAGCCGTTTTGGGAATATCATAATAAATGATTACGTTAGAATGAGGGGTATTTCCCACATGGGCGTGTATAGACTCCAAAGTCTACTGTACATTAGACATCATGTGTACAGAGAGGGGAACCTGCCCATTAAACACAAACACACAATGATCAAGAGGCCAAATTCCCCTTTAGTCACAGGGAAGCCTACAGAGTGTGTTTCACCTCTCAAACTGCACTCCTCCCTGCTGGGTCTCTGAGACTCGAGCAAACACAAGCACACACACTAATATATACCCACACTGCCACACACTTTAGACCAGTGACTGTCTGCTCAGCCTCCCACAGAGGACCGTCTGATGGCTTTGATTGAAGAGAAGAGACAATGACCTTTCGCCTCTCCCTCCCTTCAGCGGTAAAATATACACGCAGCTCAGTGCCACTGATCCCGCCAGTACATTGGGGACAGAGAATAGTTTGTGTGTGTTTAGATATGACATATCTACAGCATCTGAGGAACTGTACAACTTAGGACGTCCAAGTGGCCATTTGGCTGTTGTCCAAGTGCACGCAGACACAGATCGTTGGCCCTTCGGGCTGTGTGAGATTGCCAGCGCGAGTGGGAGGCGCCATGTTTCAGATCATTTGGAGCAGATAAAGAGTTATCAAGATTCCAACAGCTCAGGGCGGAAAAGGCCTCAGCTGGAGATCCCATTAACACAACAAAAGACTGCCACACATATCATAGTGCATCTTCACACGCGCACTCACACACACACAAACACACACAAAAAGTAAACAGAAGCATTGCTTTAGTACTGCTTTTAGTCAGTGTGTGTTTTGTTTCTATGCTGTCTAGTGCTGACACAATCTGCCAAGGAGTTATTTGAAGCTTTAACCGTGCCGTAGGAAAAGAAGATAAAGTTTAGACCAATTGGGACACTGATGTCAAAGAGCTGATATTTTTGACTGTATGGGTGATATTTGGCTAACAAGGCTTCCCATTTTGCCCAAGTCAGGGGTTAGCCAAGACATGTAGGAGATTAGATAAAAGCATGCAGGAGCTTGACCACTGCTAATAAGAAACTAAGAAAAAGGAGGGAGAGCTGCCTGTTGACTCAAAGCGGAAGTTATGTCCTCCACCCTGTAGCCCTGATTGTGAGAGTTGGGAGGACGCTCATTTGGGAAATTAATAAGTGGAGAGAGTGGGAGTAGGAAAAGGGAGTGTGTGTGTGTCTGCGGCAAAGTTGTGGTGCAATTTTTCAAGCGTCCATGTGTATTGCTTTAACAAGCACGTGTGAGAGAGTATATGCATAAGGCTCTTTTGTTTGGGGGTGTTGGCACATAAACGCTGTTTTCTGCTAAGCTGGAACACTGGAGGCTATTTTTACCACGCAATTTGTGTTTGCTCATCCTCCACAAGTCTTTCCTCAAGAAAAAAAGCCTGCCCTGCCATTTATCATCTTACACCTGCCTATCTACACCATCACACCCTTTAGGTCAAACTTAATTGAGCTGCCTTGATAAAAGTCATACTTTAAGCCTATCACACTGACACAGCACAGCTACTGGAGTCGAACAGCTACAAGACTTAAAGCAGGGGATGTGGAGATCCGCGGGTCAGCGTGGTTTCTGTTAGACGCGTTGTGACAAACAGCAACAGAATGTTCTTGTTGCATTAAAATAAATACAACACAGATGTAAAAAAAATGGATGTTAAAATTAATATTTATGAGCAATTGTGCATGTTCACACCCGTACACATATAGGGTCTGTGAGGAACATCAAATGACACAAGTGTGAGAAACAACAGCGAAGCACATGTGAGGAATTAAGGCCCCATCCACACTACTCTGATAACTGAAAACACACATCTAGTCATTTTAATGTAGACGGAGATCAACTCTAAAACGCAGCTAAAACACTGGTGTGGACGGAGATTGTATTTGTTTTAAGTCTCCATTTCTAATCTAAAACGGAGTTGTGTGGATGGGGCCTAAAAAAGGCCTACTGTTTTTAGACACAAAATCATGTCAGGGTCATAAAGCGAGGTGTTGTTTGTAAATATGTCCATCAGTGCCCCTGAACTGGATAGAACATTGTCAGGGAGACCTACTCAAAGAGTCAAAACAAGAAAGCTTGAGATTTGTATAACAAATGTATCCCCTATTCCCCCCCTTCCAGACACAGATTGCCAATGTGTTCTCCAGAGAGAACGCTTTGGAATACATAATAACTGACTTTATCAGCATAACCTGGTCAATACATGGAGCAGTAAGTTTGTAAACAGACCTTAGAGTCAACATTCTCTATGCTCCCAGTCCTCCAGCTCATTATCCTCTTAATATGACACATTAAAAAGACCGTTTAAGGTCAAATGCTCAATGTATGTTTCCCGGGGTCAATATGTTGAATTCACCCAGTAGGTTTATTGTCTACTGATGTTTTAGTTATACACCTTACTCAATTTGGGGGCAATATTATTTTCTTGCCTTTAGACAGCGATATCTCCACAATGGCTGAATGAATTTTTACCATTACAACTGCATTGAAATGTCTATCTTCTTTTTTTTAGCATTTTGAAGTGCAAGGATAATTGCTTACAATGTGAGTTCATATCAAAAGACACACATGCTGCGAACGTAGGAACGTAGGAACATAGGAACATAGGATGAGCCCCTGCTAGTGGCAGATGTTTAGCAAAAATGGGGATATACTGTGTATACAGTATTCACCGTCTTATTTTATTGTGTCAGCACAGTAAGTACAGCTGAGGCTGATGGAGACGTCACTAGGCGTTTAGTCATAAACAAAATAAGTTTTGACCTGGTGATGACCAGTTATTACAATTCATCTTGAGGGGGACATATATGTCCATACCAAATTTCATGGCAATCAATCTGATAGTTGTTGAGATAGTTCAGTCTGGGCCAAAATTGCGGAGAGACTGACAGACACACATTGCAATCCAGAGAGCCATGCAGCTAGCGTGGCTAAAAACAGTGCTCTCTACAACATTCTGTCTCATCTGATGCAAAAAAAGTCATCAAACATTCACAACAGGAACAAACTTCAATAGCTTTCCACTGTTTAACATTCTCAACTGTTAGGACATCAACAAAAAACAAGGCAAGGCCTGCAGCCCTTTGTTTTCCAAACTTTAAGCGTGTGTTTCATCCTTTACTATCTCATTACTCTTACACTGAACAATGGGCCTTTTTCACAGCAGACTTGCCATAGAAAAGCACAGGTGTTACTTACAACATTGACGATAGCTCTGTTCTATTCAAGTATCCCAATAAGGCAGTGTGACAGTGAGCCCATATGCACAACACCAGGAAGCTGAAACTGAAGCAGCTAAATGGAGTTCATCTTTAATGTACCCCTATTGTTTGTTCAACTGACATGTTAAAATAACTTTTGAGAAAAATTATGGGCAAAGAGTGATGACACATAGTAGAGGACGTGGAGGGACCGTCAGGATGTGTGTTTGTGAGTTTGTGTGGGTATAAAGATCATGTGATCAATGTAAGATTTACACTCAAACTAAATTTTACTCCACCAGTGGCTTTATTATCAGAAGCACATGCTGTACACAAATTTTGTAACATAGCTCAATTTTAAATTCCAGTACAGATCCCAGAGGTCTTAAGAATGCCATGTACCGCATGTCAGTGTAAAATTTTGAGAAATGTGACGCACAAGATTGTTATAATGGCGAAGCATATTCATGAAGTGAGGGTGGAGAAAATGTTTTTCAAAATTGAAGCTACTTAAGAGGATATTTAATAGAAAGCCAGGTATGTAAGAGGTTAAAAGAGAAACAGAGGAAGAAAGAGGGCTTTACATACCATAAATTGCAGTTCTCTTTATATGTTTGCCCTGTAAAGAACTTGTTCCCATTTCTTTCACAGGTGCCTGAGAGGAGACAAAGAGGGGCAACTTAATATATCAGGGTTCCTACTATTAATCTCAAAGAAAGTCACACACAGTCTCAGATGCAGAGACAGAACTACACACTTACACATACAACACTCACACTTAATATAATACCATCAGACTGGCCAAATTCCTTCACTTCACAAAAATAAAAAAGTGTTAACAGTAACTCCCCCGGTGTGTGTGTGTGGCTCTGTGTGCGCGTGTACACACAGTATATGTGAGGTCTTAGGAGCTCTGAGCTCCAGTAATCCAGTGTAGGAATGTTGCGTTAGCTTCTTTCCTGCCTTCCCAGGCTTCCTGGGCCCTCGTCATGCTTTAACCAGCTTAGGCTTCACTTCGCCACCTCTAGAGAGACTGAAGGAAAGGGCCGCAAAAGTAGCCCATCCATAATTAAACACCAAGAAATGTGTGAGCTGCAATGGTGAGTCAGCTCAGCATTGTCACAAAGCACAACAATGATTTAGCAGTGGCACAGCATTACCATTCAGTTTAAATGAATTTTGACCCATTACGCTTGAAGCTTACTTCCAGATTGTGAAAACTATATTGGCTTGGTGACAGATTCACAATGAGGGTTATTTACAAGCTGATTTACAGTGAAAGGCGCTGTCAGTGTGAATTTCATATGGAATTTAGGGCATGAGCTGGCCGAGAATTCAGTGTGAGTGGGTTTCGAGGCCCAGAGCTGACTGTGTGACTTACAACCAAGTCCTCTGATACGTGTCTTCCCCTTTACAGCTGTCTCACCCAGTCTATCACAGCCCTGCCCAGATTGTGACAAGTTACACATTGACAGTGAAGGTTTTTAGATAGGGTAATTCTGTTGTATATATGAGGTTTCATGTAACAGGCTGATGTGATACTTCTTATATGGCATGATGAGTGAATATTCAGATTTATACACTGACTTTGACAACAAAATTTTAATACATATCCAGTTGAATAAAGCATTGAATATTGAGTTATGGACTACAACAATCTGTGACTGCAGGCCAGCAATAGTTGTTGTGAAAATCTATCACCTCCTTCCTTTTGAAGCACCAAAGCTTTGCTCCAGGCTGTGTGACTGTGTGGTCGAGTGGGAGCACATACCTGCATCGACCCCTCTGCTTCCCATCCTGCACCCGTTGTCTGTCTCTCCCTCCCTTCGCATAGCCCACATTCTTTCTCCTGACCTCCATTTATCCCTCCATCCACCCCTCCTCCCTCCCTCTGTCTGCGTTAATAAGAAGTGTTCTGTTCCCTGCTCTGTTCTCAGGTAGTCCTCTGCTGTCACTGGCACATTTTACACATCTGCCTTGAGAGAATGTTATGTACTGTTACTGTGTGCGGAATCCGAATGTTGTCAACTGAATAGTTGGACTCGGGGACTGCACAGAAATTATCAGGGGTGGACAGAGGGTCAGAAAAGAGAGAGGGTATTGTAATTTTTATCTTTGGTGAAGGGAGAGTAGACTGACTTTTTGGGAGATATAGGGAGGGTCTTTTATTTAATTTTTTTTTGTTTCAGGCTCCCTTTTTAGATTTAATAATAAGAAAGAGATCAAACAGACAATAATGCATGGTGTTCATGTGCACCATGGGTCATAAAGGTGTGTTTGGCCATATAAGATTTTCCTCATGATAATCAAGTAAGCAGCTAAGAGGACATGCATGGGTCTGAGAGAATTATCATCAGTATTTATAAAAAACAAATACAAGATTTAGCTTCCCTACACACACTTATTTTCATGCTGTCCCTAGTCTTAAGCATGTGTCTTTCTTGTGAGAAAGCAGGTATGTAATTGCAATTAATTTCAGATGCCATGCTGCTTTGCAGTGTGATCCAGCAGAAGAGTGCACACGCAAACGTATTTACACATTCGCTTGCACACCCTTACTTACCAATGAAAGGTGGCTGCACGCCTAGACAATGACCCCAGAAGTCAGGGCAGCAATCAGAGATGGTGCGGTTGCAGAACAGGTCACAGTAGCAGATGGTGTCCAGGTAGGGAACCGTGCAGAGGTCGTCTCTGCCAGGGCAGCACCCTCCTCTCCTCTGGCAGTAGGAGCCAAATGGGTCCCTGATGCCACCAACATGGAGCGGATTGGCAAGTTCCCTCTTGGTCCTTCTAGACAGGATCCTGTCTGCAGTGCTTGCTCCAACCACCAGGAGCAGCAGTGCCACAGTCAACAGGAATAGCTTCATGATGAAACTGTGTAAAGAAAGGGGACAGGAATAAGGATAAAATATGTTTAGGTAAAGGTAATGCTACATAATCCATGCCCTTCTTTAATCCTTTTTCCTGCAATAGACACTTATATGATGAAGTGGAAAAAGGTTGGCTTGCTTTTCCCAAGAAGAGAGACTCCAAATGCTTCACACTCCACAGGAAGAGAGCTGAAGAGGTTACACTGTGAGCCGCATAACTGGAATATGACTGCTGCAAACACACTGTCCTGTCCCGCTGTGTCATTCACATACACACTGAGGCAAATACACTCAGTAGCACATACACACTAAAGATACATTTAAACTGAACTGGCAGTAAATGGTCCAAGCAGAAACCCCCATGATCCTTAGAGATCATCTGCTTATTTTTTCAACTTTCCATTTCAAGCCCCCAACACAAACAGCAACTAAATATGAAAATACATTCAGCAAGAAAGTGACGGAAAACAATCTTGCAATAATAGAAACAAAGAGGTCTTTAAATGTGTTGATGTATGATGGGGTCACTTCAGGTTGTTTAGCTACACTTTATTTACTCTCAGCCCCCACTTATTCTTTAGACTGAATATGTATGTGATTCCCACATTTTGCTATATTTTTCCTTCATAAGTGCTGCTACTTAGTGCCTCTTGTGCTGTTATTATTTTCACTAGTGCAGCACTGTTTGCATTGCAGTGTTTATAAATCCAGCTGCAATATAACCCTGTAATTAAATATTTTACTTTATCCAAAAGGGACCTGGGGCCAATGCAGTTGCTAGTATGAGGGATGAGGGAGGTGACATTATCATCCGAGATTAGCGTGCTATCTCAGTCAGGGAAATAAAGTAATGTCCTGCTGTCAAAGCTAATCTGTCACACTTAAGGAAATTGTCTGGGTGAACGGACACAGCCCACATCCAGTATTAATGGACCTCAGAGACAATACAGTTTATCTAAGTGCCAAGCTGGGGCATGGTAACAGGGCAGGCAGGGGGGAACTAGACATACAGTAACTGTCTGTTAACCACAGTTTTTGAAACTAGTGTGATCACACTTCAGCTGATGACTCTGGTATCAACTATCTGACTATAAGCATTCCAAGATATGTGGTTACAATTAATTAATTAATAAAAGTTAATGGAGCTGGATCCCAGTTTTAAAAAACAGCTTAGCCTATTAATCGCTTACAGTATGTAAGAACTATGGTACAGTATGTAAGAATTAAGACTATCTGTCTCCACCTGTTAAATTCAAACTCCAAAAAGCATATCAAATATTAGGTCATAACTACTGCTAACTGCTGTTCGCTAGTTAGCTCTGTTAGCTGTGCAGCTAACTTAGTCCTATTAGCAGGCAATAGAACCTGGCTATGCAGCCTCCCAAAGACAGCCTCCAAGACCAACAGAGGCCAGTTTGTCAACAGGAAATACAGTACCGTGGTGATTTACAGCGGCTCTGACCAGGACTCTGATCCTTCAGAGACGCGAGAGGCGTCAAGAGAGAGGTCGGGCATCAGAGAGGCAGCGTGGGGAGCCAGAATATTTTCAAGGCAATTAGTTTGGTGAAAGAGAGAAACTTTCATTCAGAAGGTGTATGGTTGTATTTTTCTGTTTGATAAAGAAAATAGCTGTAAGAATCTCTCCTTTCTTGACATTTTGTGAGTTCATTTTGTTTATTTATTAGACTAAAAAAGCAAGAGCTTGTGTAACACAGTAAACACGCTAACGTTACTCGCACACATCTCTTAGATGAAACTACAGGGGGAAGCCTGAGCTATACTATGTGACTGTTACCTCTTGAGGTAGAAAATTGTAACACATGACTGGCTTTAAAGGAAGCCACAGTGTCCGGGATACAGTTCCTCAATTTATTAATCTCTAGTACAGGTATATGCACGTGTAACACCTTCAATTACCAAGCTTTGTGAGTGTGTGTGTGTGTGTGTGTGTGTGTGTGTGAGAGAGAGAGAGAGAGAGTTAGGCTTAACAAAGGTCAAACAATAATCCATATGTATGCTTGTTTGTGTGGATGCGTGTGTGCGTATTGGTCTCAAGTTACTGGATGGGTGAGTCTCTATTGGGCCGGACAAAGACAAGGGGGTTGTCCCCCTGCTTACATAATTAACATCATTAATTTAACCAATCACATCTCAGAGCACAATGGACCCTCTGCAAGTAAAGCGGGGCTCCGGAAAAAAGATCTTTGCTGTGTTGTTTTCTGCATGACTGTGCCTTTAGATGAAACACACACACACACACACACACACACACACACACACACACACACACACACACACAAGCATATGGCAGCATGGGATGGGCAGGTCTCTTCCTTTACACAAGTGTTTTTTTTGTGGCAGAGTCTCAGCAGCAGTGCAATAAAACACCCACCAGTCTGCTCAATGAGCTTCAGGTCAAACTGACACAAGCACTGATCGAAGTTCTCGCTGCTGACACTACCTTAAACAAGCAACGTACAGTAACTTAAACGTAAATGAAATCTCCAAGGAACTCTAATATAGGAAAATATTTGATTTTGTTTGGTTCAGTTCTCAACTGAAGTGAGAGAATATTAATTAGCTGCCGCATCCAAAGTGAACCAATCCTGTAAAGTTCAATATTTCAAACATATCATCAAAATAAGGTAAATAAGGACAAAGTATGTGATACCAAGCATTAGTTAGCAAAGCTTTCAATAGATAATACAATGATGCCTCAGCTTCTTTTAGTCTTATGAAACAAGGCCACAGAAGCTGCCATATGGCCCATCGGTGCTCCAGACAGCTGCAGCCACAGGACAGATGACCCCCCCCCCCCCCCCCCCCCCCCCCGCCCAAACTTAAGTTTACACAGCAGAAGATGTCTCTGTCTCAGCTGGACCTTCATCACAGCTTCAGGACCATGTTCACAACCTAAACCTGCCTGATCTCAGCGACACTGTCAGTATCATCTGTTTATATCAAAAACACAGTAAAGACACTTCTTTTTTTTTACATATTTACTCTCCTACCTTTAGTGACATGCTTGACTCAACATCAGCACCTCTTTTTCAGAAAAAGTGTCCAGGTTGGTCTTGATAATGCACAGACATTAATGTGAACACTTTGAAACTACTTTCATCATGTTTGCTCATACATGCCCTATGACTCCACTCTTCTCTATCAATGCACCACCCTCCAGGTAATTCAGGCATTGTGGCTCAGTGGAGAACATTTACAATACCGTACAGGTGAGTGAGGGGATAATTGGTCTTGGTGTATTATCAGTCTAATTGTGAATTACACAGGAGCAGCCACAAACTCAATGACCTTGTTAAAAAAAAAAAAACTCACCAGCCTCCCACACATTGGAGCACAACCTATTAATAACCTCTTGAATATTGTGTTCTGTACAATCCCACACCCGGAAGGTAAATATGTTACAACAATAAAGTCTTGGCTAACTAAAGTTCTGTGCCTTTGGCTAAATAAAGCAGAGAAATTAGTTCAAATCTCAGAAAATTAACAGTGATTAACAAACGTTTGAATCAAAAGACCTTAAAAGTTTCCATAAATCGGACAGATATTTCTGGGTAATGTGAGATCAGTATAAACCATGCTGTGACGTTCAGCCTGCACCTGCCTGGACTCTGGCACTGAAAGAGTGCTGCTGTTGAAGAAAGCCAAAACTGTTGTTACCTTGTGTTGAGAGAGAAATCCTGGTTTTGTAATCCGATAGAAAAACCGCAGAGCTTTGCTGACGTGTTGCTCAGAAAGTCATTCACAGGTAGAGAAGGTTTGGGTAAAAGGTCAGTTCCTCTTTCCTCTGTTCCTTACTGTCTCACAGGATCGGCTCTGTCAGACTCTGTCTTCTCTATATACAGGCAAGGGCAAACCACTCCCCCCTCCCGACCCTCCCTTCACTCTCTGCCCTGTCCCTTGCTTCACTGCCTCCTGCTCAAATCTGTGCTCACTCTCCCTCCCTCATTCGCTTTTTCTCGCACACACACACACACACACACACACTCCTTTTTTCTGTGACTCCTACAGGTTTGCTATCTCTTCATGCCTTCCCTCTCCTTATCAGACTGGAACCACCAATCTGAAAGTGAAACAGTTTGCACTCATGCACATCTATAGTATATCTGCTCTGCTGCTATTTCTTATGTTTTCTTTCCACTGTCACTTTCACTAACAGCAGCACCACCTCTCCACTGCCTGTGGCTTTTCCCTGCAGGGTCATACCTGCTGTCCTCTGTTGTGGACAAAAAAAGTGGGGAGTACTGCTGACCTCTCGTCCACCATCTAGTGGTCATAGGCTGCATATTTTCATCTCAGGTAGCCAGGAAATTATGGGATAGCCTGTGGAAGACCTCCCAGCTTCTAGAAACTTCAGAACTAGCCTCTGGAGGTGAAGTTTTGGCAGGTGTTTTAGGGAGGCCAAATACTCTGAATACGCCTCCTTTCCAGAAGTTTTCCAAAGTTTTGTTTAACTGGATTTACCAAGTCAGTGAATATCAATGCTGAAAATATGGCTACTTTTCTATTTAATGCAAAATTCAAGATACAATTTTTTTCCAATATTGCTCAAAGTGTTTGTGATTTGTTTCAGCATTTTTGTGTGTTTGCATTTTTTCTGGATAAGAATGCTAAATAGGTATTTAGGAGACTGACATGGTGGTCCCCAAAGACACAGCTGAGTCACAGAACCTCCTTTTGGGTTGATCAATAAGCTAAAGGCTGAATCAATAAACGAGGTGGTTGGGGAAGGGCAGGGCTCCCCAAAAAAACCTTTCAGAACAAAAGAGAATACTGTCCACACAAAGGTACTGAAATTTCAGTGTGTTGATTTTGCTTAGCATAAATAGCACTTGTAGAACATTTACAGAAAATGACCAGTGTCCTCTGAAAGGTATGCCATGCCCTCATTTACTAATCACTGATCAGTATCAGCCACTCTGAAAGAAAATACAAAAACTACTGAAATAAGCTAAATTAAAAAGGTAAATCAGTTTTAGGTGGCGTGTTGTGTCAACTGCTGTTTTTTCTGTTTAAAAAAAATGAATAAAATGCTGCAACAACTGTTCAAACTATACTGCTGTCCTGTATTTAGTTAAGGCCACATACTGCTGACTGGTACAGGCTATTGCAAATGCAGTATCATGTCCTTTTTTTCATTTATACCAGGTTTTGGTTAAAATGTGAAACGCTGTTTGAACATTTTTGAGCTGTCAAGATGAGCACACCCAGGAGGCGACCAATCCATAATTTTAAAGGTATAGACAAACTTTCTGATTTCAATTTAATATGAAATATAAGATGGGTACCCACTATTAAACAGTAGAGCAATGAATACTTTTGAAAGAGGAAGCCCAGCTTACAGAGTTGCAGAGTCTGGAAAAACTGATTGTGATGTTAAGTTGGTGCTTGGTATCTTCCCTTAAAGCCTAGTTGGGGCATCACAACACATGAACACCAGAGTCTTTTGTCCAGCCTGTCCAATGTCTGTAACCCACATGGCAGAATTGAAAATCTCTCAGACAATTTCTTTCAATAATGTGAGCAAAGAGGAGATAATTTGGTCGAACCCAGTTTGCTTTTCATACAACACTATAATTATGGCTTTAACACCTCTTACACAACCTCATGCCTCCTGAAGAGAGGTGCTCCAAGCTATGTTTACAGTGTTTATTGTCCCCCACCTTCTCAATCATTATTGCAGGTTTTAATGTTGTTTACCGTCAGATTGATTCAGTTATACTAAGATGTAAAGAATGCCATTTCGCACAGCTACTGGCAGCAAATGAGTCATGTAGAAGAGTACGGCCGTGATGCTTCATTGGCGGTAAATGCAGAAGAGGTTGATTGTAGCCATCTGTAGGAGAAGGTGTGTCTGTGTGGGGGGGACCCTAACAGACCCCTTATTTACAACGAAGTCACCAGACAAGGGAGTATGTGTGATTCATTGCCAGGTCATCAGTGAAGACAAGGAGAGTGAATCACCTTGGATGGCTTGTACAACTATGTTTCACAAGATCTGTAGGTGGTGTGTTGCAAGACTCATATATGGGTGCACATTTGATATGTACACGCATGGGATTGACTCGGCCGGCAGTGACTCAGGCCTTAACGAGCCTGAAGATGTTAAACCGTGACCAGAAGAAAAAAAGGAACCAGATATGAGATCATCAGTGCTTCTGTTCGTGAGGTCATTTCCCTGAAAATAGACTGAACTGAGGAGGATGAGGACACACATGGTAACAATAAAGCCTATACATATACAAAGAACCCTCTGCGGGTGCACTCTCGAGTAAAGCAACACACACACACACACTCACATGCACACAAAAACAGACAGTTGTGTCCGCTTGCAGATGTGTATGCAATTATGTCAATGGACTTTCATGTGTTTAATAAGGAAGCTTCAGAAAAAAGAATCAAATATTGAGATTGGACTTGACAGACACATGGCGTGGGCCAGACACACACACACACACACACACACACACACACACACACACACACACACCATCCTGAGGAACAATCCTTCTCTTTCTCCCGATCATTGCATCACAACCCTCCCATGATCCTACGCAGCGAGGCCGGGAATCCCAGCTGTCCTCTGTCAGGGTGGAGGCCTGCTCTCCTGACCCCATGGAGGCGGGGACACATATCAATCCCCATCTCTCTGGTGCATTTCCTGTTCCTGGAACATGGAGGACGAGTGCAGCTGATAGTAAATAAGAACGGACGTGCTGGCGGCACACACGAGTGCATCAACAACATCATGCAATAATTTTTCTAGATGTTTCTGAGGCAGAAACACCCACATGTTGATGTGTTAATGAGAAGCACAGACATTTGGAGGAATATCATTGTACTGTTTGTTCTCTCTTCTCTGGCACTTGACAGTTTTGTTTTTGAGAACAGTCGGTGTACTTTTGTTTGGAGGCTGCATGCCTCAAGTAAAATAACCCTTACACAAACAAGTGGAATATGAGATACATCTATACAAGTCCCCTTTCTCTCTACAGTCTTCTAGTTCAGGTCAGTTTCAGGCTCAAACTGATTTTTATGTTGGAAAAAACAGGTTGCAGTCCTGTTTTTGTTCTTCATATCTCCAAGACAAAACACCTGTCCACAGTCAGTGTAGGACAAGGACAAAGCATAAAGAAGACCTTTTTATGCAAAAGCAGATTTGAAACTGAACTATGGAAACAGGATCTGAGGTAATTTGCTGAAAATACCTGATTGAGCTAAAGGGCAAACAAGATGACCTTAACAACTCAGTGCATACACACATACTGAATCTGTACATTATCCAAAATGAAACGGTTACAGTAACTCTCTCTCTGTTTCTGCATTTGTTATACACCAAAAAAAAAATTTGTCTCCCAGGTATTACATGCATATGCTTCACATTTATTTGTTTCCAATTACATTTTGAGTGAATGCAGTTGCTACCTGGATTATTGTACATTCAGTGGCAACGTTTTGGTTTGTTTTTTTAAGTGTAATGACCTGATCAATATCGGTGACTTATGTCGTGTTATTTCTGAAATATGTGGGTTATTGTATTTTGTTGGGCTTGATAAAGTGCTTAATTCATATGTAATCTATGTTAAAGTATCAGAGTTACTGAGGTGGCTAATGCCTAGTTGTTGAAAATGCAATAGGATTTATCATTTAATTATCCTTGCTCTGTTCAGATGTGGCCTGGTAATTTTACAGTTAAGTTGTGTTTTCCTTAAAATATTTACAGGATGGTTTATTACATAGGATAAGCTCACATCATTTTGTTAATGTGAGATTTAGTGACTAATAAAGTATCCTGTTGAACTATGGGTAATCACACGAGAACAGGAGAGCGGAGGGAAAAGTTGCCTGAGCTCGAGGGCTAGTCGGCAGCTAACACAGTGTTTTGTGGGCACTTAACGCTTTAAGTGGGACTATTTGTTTTATCGGACACCGCGCTCTCTGCGTAGGAGTTTGTGACTGTGGGACTACCACCGGAGGTGTGTGTATTTGTATTGTGAAGCGAGCTTAGACCTGTTAGCTTCTCTGGCTAAGTTAGCTCGTGGCTTCGCAGTACTGTGCCACCGTCGTGGGAGGGACCGCAGACGCACCGTTCCCCTTTGAGGGAACTCGAACTGCGTCGGTTACGACACTTTGGGAACGCCTCTAGTCGTAGCATGTCTGAACGTGAATGAAATCACTCCAATCCTATTGGTTTGTTGCTAGAACGGTAAGGTGTGACGGAATAACCGGAGGAGTATAAAGCACACCTGTACACACTCATCATTAGCTTTTTTCTATTCAGCAGGCGCTCTGTATGTTGTTTGAAGAAAGCTCCAGTCCTACAAGCAGTGTGTCTTACCTGAAGAAGAAGTCTACCAGCATGTCCGGCAACCAGAAGTACAGTGTTGTGTTTTTCCTTGCCCTCGGTACATCACGGATGGAGATTCTCATGAGATGTGTGGACTGCTGCACATGAGACCCCTGCAGTGGTGGCTAAGGACCAAGGGTTTTTCCCCGAGGGGAAATCCTTTCCACCTGATTTGGGTTACGCGCAAGTGTCTTCGTTCCCTATCAGTTTGGAAGGAAACTTGGTTCCTGTCCCAGGGGCCCGTGCTGGGAGGGTCTTGTCGCCAGCTGGTCATTTCAACAGACGCCTCCCTCACGGGCTGGGGCGCGGTCATGGGGGCCGCTTTGCAAGGGGATCCTGGCAGGTGCATCAGTCCGAGTGGCATATCAACTGTCTCGAGGTGTTGGCGGTGTTCCAGGCTCTAAGGAGTTTCCTGCCCGATCTCCAAGGCCACCACGTCCTGGTTCGTTCCGACTACACAGCGGTGGTGG